TAGTTAAATCGGTTAGGAATAACTGAAACTAATGTCAAAAGGAGCTAATTGTTAGCGATCGCAAAAGATAGTACTTAGAAAATTTCCACATGCTTCCCGTATTGTTGCACGCGTTAAAATCGAGTCTAACGCACTTCGCGCTCTGTGTTTATCACTTAAGGTCGAAGTGGATATTCTTTGTATATAGAACTCAGGAACGCACTCAACGGCGTTGGTTGCCTGCAACTTGCAGGTGACAAAACCATCTAAGTCATCACAAAGAGAAACCTTTGAGGAAAGTGAGTGCAGTCCAGCTGACTGACAATGTGATCTAAGATATTCGAAGGTGTAGGCTAGTTTGGTGGACAACGTAGAGTCAGAAACGTTTTGTCATCTACTGGGACGTGCGAACGGCTAGAAAGGGTTTACGAGGAGATGGACAAATATCAATAATGTGGTCGTTATCCATAATTTATGTTTTCCATTTATTTAGATGAATCCTGCAAAGAGGAGGCAGTACTTCCTAATGGAATGCAAACAGTTTTCACAGGAGGACTTTTGTCCGATATCTGTACCACACTCACCTACTGTAATTACCTATGCGTTACATCGAGAAGAAATTTCTTCCAGAATACTGTTTTCTAAATTTCAATTATGTAAAAGAAGCATACCTGATTATCCATAACAACCATAAAAACCAACCATATAATTTTAGGGAATAACTGTCAATCAGCCATTCGCACTGTATACTATTCCATGGCAGTTTAAAAATCGTTAGTTTTTGGTATATTAAAGTAGGTCTCTCGTTCTAACAACCTTGTTACGAGGATTTTATTTCTGTTTACCTGCAGTGTAGTTCCAATTTGATGTTATTAGATAGTTATTTTCTCTCAAATGGAAAAATGTAGTTCTCTCGCTCTGGACGCATTCTGTTTAAAATATCAAACGATATACCAGTGTTATTTTTATTTAAGGATAGGATGAATTAGGAGTTATTCGTGAAAACAGTTGGCGAAGTGCCTGTTCCACAGTGGTTAAAATAAACAAGCAGGCAAGACAAACACAAATGAACTTTTAAAAGGTCGATGCGATGAATTTGTGCGAAATCACCTAAAGACATATAGTTGCAGTTCGCATCGCACCGCTTGAATCCCCAGTGAGTATGCACGATCCTTTTTAGAGCTGTACAACAAAGATAACGGTCTACAGATAGCATTGCGATAATAAAATACTTCGAGTGCTTACGGAGCACATCTCATGAGGTAAGATGTGACAAACAGTCGAGGAAAACACAGCTAAGGGGAAAAGCAATTGCTAAGTAACCGAATACATCTTACAGGAACCAAAAATAGTACTGTTCTGTTTTCCGAGTAGGTCAGTACGACTATTGTAACCCATGTGCTGGTTAAGCGTTATCGAGTAACTGAACAGACAACTGGTGTGTAACGGGTGCTGAGCTCGAGATAAGACAGCAACACACATAGGAAAGGCAGAGCATCAGTAACTAACTACACGTAGTGATTATGATACGAGTTATGGTGTGAGTGCGCCAAACGAGAAAACAGACATACAGTGGTATGTTTGAACACACCAGAATGTATGGGGTTGAGTCAAGGATAGTGAGGCAACCTCGACTGTCCAAACCGAGAATAATCAAGCAAGCCGGAATAGGTGAAAGCTGAGTATGACTTTTGACGAGGAAAACTATGAGACTGAGACAAGTATAGAATTGCGAATCGATAATGTAACTTGATTCTCTTCTTTGGATTTGAATTTTCCAGAGGATGAACTTCTTGAAACATACTGATTCACTTCATTTTCCAACAAATTGAGATGACTGTATGCAGAAGGATAAAGTAAGAATAATAGTACATGGTATGACTATTGATAAAGGCCTAGTGCGGTATACAATGTGATGGAAGCTGTGNGTTCGGGAGGGAGGGGGGCTTCGAAACGTAACTAACACAACAGAATTTCGTTGTTAAACTTATCAATTTGATCCAAGTAAATGATTCTCTTCTGTAGCTTCGGACTCTCATTGAAATTAGTCAATGAATGTCTCACTGACAATCTGTAACGCGCATAGTTTGGGAATCATTATGTTGTAACGCAGATCACCCGCGTAAAAAACTTGGTTAAGGACGGAAATGCGGGGCATACTTTAAAAAAAATTATTTTCTCCAATGACCATTCGATGAATATAAGGTCAGAATATTTCATTTTTTAAAGAGATTTTTGAATGTTCGTACACTTCGTTTGTTCGTGGTATTTCCATGTTTTCAAGTTCCGTTTTGTAACTTAGGGTACTGAATTCTTAATAAGTCGAATAATCAAACTGATTGTTAAGGTTAGAAGACTTTTTCTCGTCTGTCACAACTCCTCCGTGCATAAAATACATAATTGAGAATACGAATTATTGATTAACTCATTGATCGGGTAGATTAAGCGTAACAAGTCTGAATGCAAGGAATTTTTATGTGATTCAATTTCCGAAAAAGAGGTACGAGTTGCGAGAAGATCAAAATGGCTTTTCGGGCCCAGATTTGGCTGTCACAACGATCCATTATAAACCAGATTTATCATCGTCCGGAGCAACTATATATAACCTGCCTCTATTTGTCATCTACGACTTGGATCAGTCACTCGTGGAGTAAAAAATACATTTAACAACCGTAGTCAAACTGTTACCCATTCCTTAAGTAGCCGTTCCATTCTTTGCTAGAAATGATCATTGAAGAACACTATCAGAACTTCGTCTTCATTCCAACTGTGATCATTTGAAAGTCAAAAAGGGTAGCCCCTTTTGGTTTCGTGGTTCGCACATGTCAAATGAAAATTCATTCGTGACAGGGTGTTATCCCTAGTAGAGTCCGTGGATACGCTCCGCTAATGAGGTTAAACTAGCTGGCGGAAACGTCTGGTTGCAGTGCTCCCAAGACATTTTCGTGTTGACTTACACATTGATTTTGCTTTAACATGAAAAATTCAACTGTTTTAAACTTATTCGTCTAAATTATTGAAAACCTGTTTTACATTATTTTTATTTATTATTATTATCAGTTATTATTATTATTATTTATTTTATTTTATTTTTCTTATATCTACCCCATATTGTGTGACCTTTGAAATATTTTCACTGTTTAATCAAAGTCAAAGTTTTTTATGGGAATAACTTACAAGCTCGTGCTCTTGTCCCCACTGAATACCTACACAGAAAAATCGTTGCACCCTGAAAAAGAATTCACAGAGTTCCGGGTAGGAGACAATAGGGAATACAGACTTCAGGGAATTTCCCTTAGCTGTTATTGGTTTACAAACGTGAGGTATGCCAAGGTTTCATCGAGTCTCTGCTTGAAAGATTCAATACTGCGTGCACAAACGACGTGAGATGGAAAGGCCTTCCAAGAACTGCATACTCGGACTGTAAAAGACTGGTTCCAACATTCCAGTCGACACTTCGGAATCAGTAGCTTGAAACGGTGTCCCCTTAGGTGTACATTGTTCGATAACATGAGCAGCGATCGACACGGATGGTTGGAGTTTTGCGATATTTGATAGACCAAAATCAAGTCTCCCCGAAATCAGCGGTACTGATCAGAATATAGCGCAATGATCGTAATCCCTCCTCATATTTCAATAACACAATCCTTTGGCCATCTTAGTGGCCATACTTTGTGGACGCTCAAGCATCTTGCGGTCAGATTGAAGTCATGGACTCCAAGCTTGGATGGCGTACTCTATGTAGGGTTGAATATACACTGATCGTAAAGTTAAATATTTTTCAAGGGAAAAGAAGTTTACGGAGAGGCAACGTGTCGTCAGTTTTCATAAATATTCCGGACTCAACCTACTTGTGTGGGTATTTTAGTCGTACAACTGAACAAACACCACTTAAAATACATTTTCAATGTTCTGCTTGTAAACTTTGTTGAATTTTCCGGGGTTTAGATATTAATCTGATTTCATACAACCTTTAATGCACATACGATTGACTAATTGTGAGAAACGCTTGTCTCAAAAGGTATGGAATATCAAGAGTATATGGCAGGACACTGTCGTAAGCGAAAGCATTGAATAACGACGTGAGTATGAACCGACTCGTATTCTGATTGAGATAGTGTTACGTTTGGAAAACATGAACATTTGGAATGTAAGGTCGTGAAACTCATTCATACAACTCTATCTGGCAGAAAACGATCATTTTTGTGAAAAACACCAATACAAAGCAACGATTGTTTTCTGATTTGTCTGAAAATTTGAGAGTCGCCAAACCACACACAGGCCGAAGATGCCAAGTGTGTTCAACCCTGTGCTGTATCATCCGCGGCATGCACATCAAGCACGGGCATATCGAGACACTTTTTCAGGGCAAAATGAGAGCTCTCAAGTATATCATTCATTCAGATCTCTTCGGGATTGGATGAGGAACTTATTCCAATTGAATTATTTTCGCAGCAGTAAAATCGAATTTGCGAAATGTTATTCACAATTTCTATCCCGAACTGTTTTGGATGGTAATCTGAAGTTCACCTCTCGAATAAGAAATCGATAAAAACTTTGAAACGATTATTTTGCTTTTTGCATTTGATTGGCATTGCACGAAGAGGCCTCAAGCGTCCAAACTGAGCACTTTGCTGTCCGCAGTCTAGAGCTATTAGATGTCGTGTCTATTTTTTCATATACACAAGCAATGGTTTTCGAATTATCTGCACACTTGAAATCGCTTATACCGAGGTTGATCAAGCTGAAGCCTACTTCATTCAAAAAAGATTATAAAAATAAAAAACCCAACGACTCAATTGAAGTTCACTCCCCCTGTACCTTTATGTGCATGCTGGTGAAATGTTATGTGGATCGCGTTATTTGTTTCCAATTAGAATCTCTGCATCAATCTATGTAACCGTTTATATGATTAGATAGATGTTTGATAAGGGACAGAGATTACGTATGATCAAAATAGCTCAATAAAATTGAATGTATCGTGACCGAGGATTGGTCATGCAGGTTCCGTTATTGTCTCTACATCAATTTAAGTTCTTTGCAAACTCGGTCTAAATGTTTTCTACACCTTGAATTCGGTAATGCGACCGCTTTTCTGTTTATCAACTCTGTTCTCAATGGGTAAACAAAAGATTGCGAACAGAAGTACCGAAGTACTGTGTTAGCGATCATTTAAAATGAAGCTTTACGCACAGACGCTTTGTCGAAGAACAGCATAACTGCAACACGGAGTTGGCGAGATAGTGGGCCAGTATATGTTGCCATTTTTCAGATTCATTAGAAACGAACCACCATCGTCCCCATTTCGAGCGAGCTTTTAACAATATTTACAAAGAGCAAACATGCGCACAAATTCAGCAGGTGCAGTTTGTCTATGTTAGTTAAAGTTGATGTAATTATTACGAATGAATTCATTTGTCATTGATGTTGTTGTTTTTTAGAGTAGATGATATCTTATCACGTAAACGCATGTTCAAACTGGACGATTTTAGTTATAATAACATCAAACCACAAATCAGGCACGTTTGAAAGGTAGAAATCTTATAAAACGTCATTTGAAATAAATTGTACAACCTGTAAAGCATAGTTCACGGGTATTGAAGTCCCCAGTCTTGCAGTCGATCTCTGGTACAACGTAACACGCGAAGACCCACTGATTCGTATTTTTTAAATTTTCTTCCAAAATGGATTGCTTGATGTCGTGTGTTGTCATCGTTTCTCGACTGTGAAATTAAACTGACTCAGAGAGGGACTAGTTCCGTTACGGATGGGCAAAAAAATTGACTGACAAAACATCCTTTATTTCATTTTTGCTCACCGGCTCAAATCAAAACATTTATTTGTGAAATCATGTTACTTTCCGTGGTACTTCGCGTATCCAATTCAATTCAGCCGGGTTTTGAGAGCGACTGAATGCACTTACTTGCATGTTTTGGTAGTTCATGAGGAGCTCGCAAACTGGACATCTAATGCCGGTTGTTTCATATCAAAATGACAAATAAATACTAACCACGATATACTTTATTCTCCGTTTTGTTGCCCTCATATATGGTGTCTTGATGAAAGTTTTTTAAGAGCAAGAACAGCCTGGCGAACAAGCTCATTTTCAGTTATTCGGAATCATACCATTACATACCATTACTTATGATTAAGAACAAAAAACAAAAAATGGGATGAAGAAAACGAGTCATAGCGGTTCCAAACATGTGTGCTTGTGTTTTGCGTGAAATTTACCCGAATGTCAAAATTTAATTGATTGCACACGTGTTTGAGCGAATGTAGAGGGCCAGGGGAAATCAAATGCTTGCAAGAATTGCTTCTGGGTGTACATAAGAGGGAAATCTAAAGCCGATGCAGTCAATCTAAAATCTCATACATATGCTTAATACTCCTAAAATGCAAGAGTCACAACCACGTGAGTCGATTTTCCCAGATGTTATCGTTTTTTTTATCCTAACGTAATAATAAAACTCACTTCGGCGAAATTCACGTAAGATGCACACGTTGCATCTGATTCCATCAATATTTTGAGTATGATTTCTTTGAAGGTAACAATGTTTTTTTTCGAGTAAGTAGAAAACGAAGTTTTTACATGGCTACTNGGATAACTTGGCGATGAGGGAATACAAAACTAAAAACCATTCTAATTGTCATGACGTGTAAAGCTTTCAAAAGAATAAGGTGCTCCAAGATGTTCCAAGTAATGAAAAAATAAACGTTTTCTTTCTCCATAATCTTCCCACTTTAGATATACCCGGGTTGACTATCAGGATGGCGAATGGTCCGTTAGTGAGCTGAGTGTTCCGGCCAGCTATCGAAATGTCGGCGTTTTCGGCACCTATTCGTGCATCGCTTCCAATCGCCTCGGCTCGGCCACTGGTCTGATTCGACTGAAAATGGCCACACACCCGGATAAGCCAACCCTGAGAGCTTGTAATGTGAGTTGGTTATATGTTCTTGTTTTCATTTTCGGGTTCAAGCAAACATAATGATCAGGTTCTGCTTGTCTAACACGTTCCATCAACAGTACACTGTACTTTTAAATGCGTGAGCGGAACTAGGCTAACAGAACGGTTCTAGTAATACATACTTTACACGCGAACTGCTCATTTTTCAGGTTTCCATAGGAACACACATGTACACTCCGGTAGAATTATTCCAACATATTAATCTTGAAGTATCAGTTTGCTCGCCAAAAGGGATGCCATTCCAAGTGTAAATTTGTTGTTGTATAGAAAGAAAAATCTCTATTTTTCATTTAGCCTTTGAACTCCAAAACGCTGTGCGGATGTCCCCAAACATAATTTTGGTTAAACTGGAACGAATTCGACACATTTCACCATCGTTGTTTATCTTGTCAGATTATTAACTTAAACTGATAAGAAGTTTATCTATATCGAACTTCAAAACCAGATATTCCGAAGGGTTTGCAGCCAAAGAGTTCCCTTAGTTTGTCTATCAACGAGACCACAGATATTGAGTTGAATCAGTTGTACGAGTATTTTGTCAAAACTAAGCGACAGTCATGGTTCTAATGGACAGTGATTGCCGGTTGGCTTTTGGCAAACGGTAGCATGAAATATCAAAAGGTTTTGGAGGCGGTTTTACTTCACTGAACGTCATGATATGTGTGCGTACGACGCAGAAGTTATGAAGGAATATTATATGACGAACATGGATGTTAGTATGCACAGCAAATCACCTGATCGATCTCATTTTCTAGATCTTTTACGGGAAAACTGTCGAAATATTTAAGCTGAACTGGTTCAGAATGACACGGGATTTGCAGAACAAACTCGGACAGGAAAGAGCATAGTCTTATGCATGCAGTTTGTGTCACTACTGTTTTACGGTTTATCAGTTGAATATTACAAAGAAAGGCTGCTAACTTTCAATGTGTACCGATCTTTCTGCGCTACCGCTTTGGTTCTCTGGAATCCACGAGACTGATGTGATCTATTGTCTTCTAATGAGTGCTGCACCACCGAGTATGGGGCTTAATAGTTATGGTTTTATTTGCGTGGCATGTAAACAAAATATTTCCTGAAAGTGAATATTTTTGATATATTTGAAAACAGTAAATAATACTTACTGTTTATAATAAAACGTTCATAAACAGAAAAATCAATTGACGCTGGAATGAAAATTCGCTGAATGGTGCGTTTGTAAAAATCAACAGTTAAGGAAACTAACTTCCGCGAACCACTCCACATTATTCTTTCTTGAGTTTCTGCTCCATTCATGTCCCTTTTCCTTTGTACTGAATGAATGGACGCGACTTATCTATTCAGAGACTATCAAAATCACATTTAGTTCAAAACAGTAGAGAGCAAAATAGTAGTGAAATATCTATTGCAGTCAATTTGTATCTGATGAGGTCATTCTATTATTACATAGGGTCGTTTGAGGAGATGCAAATGAGAGAGGTGTTGATCAAATTAGTCGGGAAACAGCCCAGTCTGCGGTTGAATAAGTTTATGAAGGTTGATTATTTTATGTTATCAAAAAGCTGATGTATAGCACGTTCGGTTATCGGAAAGATAGGTGGGAGTGTTTGGGCTAGGCCTTTTTTGGGCACAAAGGCCAGATTCCGAGATGTGTTTGTACAGTTGAGCTTCTGGTGGAAACTTATGCAACACTAATACAGTTAGCAGTTATCCATAGAGACTTGCAGAGGTTCAATTAACCATATGAGAAAATAAACGTGAGTGCCGTAGATAAAAAGAAAAATTCGTCTAGTCGATTTCCTTTTAATAATTTAATCCAAATGTGAGTGTACTTAGTAGAGTTTTGAGTTTACATAATAAATTCATGGAACTGAATAGCCATTATTTCTCTGCACTCTGTGGAGTTAGACGAGTAATTTAATTGAATCTTCTAAACGAGTGAAAGTAATCTTGAGTGTATTCAGAATTCGTTTTGTTTCCTACGCGTCGCGAAACAAAGGGCAACAAAAAACAAACTTCCTTGATTTATCTCGTCCACGATCAATTCACCATTCTCGTGTGCCCCACAAATGATAAGACGTCTCCAAATCCATCAGTCTTTTTGAGCTAGGTACGAAATGGCTGGTGTGATCGCATATTACTTATAAATGCTAGAAAAACTGACACGGCGGTTGCAGTCTATCAGTTGTGAATTAGATCCCGGACCACCCGTCAAAGACAGGTTTTCAAGGTCGCAACCGCCAAGGCATTCATCATCCGCTCCATAAACCTGACCCTTGCACACAGTGAAACGTAGTCCAACAATACGGTTTTCTTTGACTGATAACAGAACATTGGCCATTAGCTATTATATGTGATGACAACAAACCTTGAGATTTGGGAAATAAAACACTACTCCCTGAGCTCTGTCGACATTTCAATGGGAACAAAATTTTCCGAAACTCCCAAGTTATGAGACCAAAAATTGTAAACCACATTGAAAACTCCACAGTATCTGTGAAGTTCCTGGGAATTCAAAAGGTCATATTCAATTACAATGACATACTTGAAACCCTCGGTTTCTTAGCTCTGGAGATTGGGTTTTGCTTCCAGTTCGAAGGTTTGCAGTCACTGTCTTTCTTACGATGACAAAAACCTAGTAATCATTGGTGAAGAGTCCCGACATGAACAGCAAAGCAGTTCCAGTCCCGTTGTCTTTTTTCTCGTTCATTATTTCACAGTTCCATTTCTGAACCATCTTTACGTGGGTGCCCGTTGTTTATTCGATCATTCTTCTTTTCACGTGGAGCGCACTATTCATGTGGTGGCAACTGAATTATAAAGGAAACCGTATGAGGAAACACTTGCCCTTTTGACTAGGGACAAGTGCTCAACACACTTGACCTTGAAAAACAGAAAACAGTAATAAAAATAATACTAAGCAACAAATTAAATTGAAAAAGACGTGACATATTGCCGTTATACTGATAGTTTATACAAAAGCAGGAATGCGCGGATGGTGGTTTACGAGTGGACCAGTTTTGGTGTAAGATAAATAAAGGAGAAAATCTCTGGTATACATACACGTTGTCTAGTTTAAATGAACATGCATACGTGTTTGAGCACTGCGGTCAGATGCGAAGTGAAAGAAAGAAAGGCACTGCTGTCAGTTTGCTCCCATATACTTCACTGTATCCAACCCACAAGCTATAGAGCTTTCCGGATCCAGTTTCAGGGTAGAGCTACTGTTCTATCTGATAGTTCTGTGTCCCGTTTCCCAGTTACGTATTAGCCTCCATGTGGTTTCATCCAGTCCGGAGAGGTAACAGAAAATAGTGCGCAACCGATATCAGGTTGACAGTACTGTGTAAGCTACTTAAACTTTAGAAATGTTTTCGGTTATCTGTCATACTACCGTCATTCATCATGCAACCACCTAGGTACGAGAGACTATCGTTTAAATCAATTCAATAATTTCAAAGCTAGATTTATTGAAACGCAATCCGATGACATAACCCTGCACTCTGAAGGCGTAAAATGCACGGATCAACGGTAAAGTGGTAAAATTCCAGTTAGTTCTTTAAATTAATCATCGAAACTCAGGGAATTCAATCACTAAATGAATTTATCGTTAAATGTTTACAGAAAAGTCTCAGTGCGTCATATGCGCACAGCATTGAAAAATCACAGTCTGATACAGAGTGCACTGTTTCGCCACGGTCCGTATTCGGCGATTGTCTCTGTTTATTCACCTCGCTCAGATTACCGGCGTCTGGTTGAACAACAGCACATGGAAAACGTAATGTCACGTTGAATTCCTTTTATGGTTTTGCCTTTATACGCGGCTTGATCGCGAGGTGGGATAAATTTTGCTTACAGAACCGTGGTGGTGGTGTTGAGGCCGTAAAGATCACCCAACCATCGCACCGCGGAGTGTGTGTCGAACCCCACCGTTATTACCACTGCCCTAAGTTCCCTATTGTACAGCGGTGCATTGTCTGGTGACTTGCGTTATCCTGAAAATAATATCATTATTTCACAACATAAATCATAAAGGATATGCTCAAATACTAGTTATATAATCTACCCTTAGAAAATTCAGGAATAATGTTTGATTTTACAGACGACTCTTCATTTTTGATACTACTAAATCTCGCTTATTTCTGATTTGAATTGAATTTACCGTGAGATGAATAGTTTGTTTTCCAAAGATGTATATTCTAAACTCCGAAAATAGAATGTCGCGTACATGGGTTTGGATTCTTTTGAGAGTTGCCTCGTGTGAAACTTGTTCAAATTGACTGCATGCACATTTCTTTGATGTGTGAACGTGCTAGTGAGAGAGATCTAACGGCCACATTTTCACAGAAGAAAGCAGACATGTGTACCACAATGAGCAAAAAACGCTTTTTCAATGTTTACCATGGATTGGGCTGATTCGCGAACCCAATATCATTTATTATTTCGTAGTGATCGTGGTCTACCTACACGGTGATCCTCTCAAGCCGGGACCAATTGTGAAAAAGGACCAGCAAACCAGAAGTTTTTATGTGTTCGCTTCATGAAAATACGATTAAATTGCCCACAATTCTGTCAGTTAAAATGGGAGAATTTCCGTCCACGCGGACCCAATTCACTGGGTATTCCGGTGCAAAACTTAATAAAAAATGGAAATGATTTTGTATAAATAAAAGTAAAAGCTAACTGACTGATAAAAAGAATCACAGGTATATTTCATTATGAAATAATCGATGTGTTTGTATCCTGTGCCAAGCTCAAATTAAAATTCCTTTTGACCTTCTGGTGGTCAACCAGGTTTCGAGGATTTCAAACAGACCACCGGGTGAATTCTGAGTTTCCTGTATGTAAAAGCCTTTGCTTTGACTACATCAAATAGGTTGTATCTGTCGACATTCAAACACAGTGTTTGGGAATCACCGGTACGCCCCGATTAGGGTATAAGAAAATTTCAGTTGATACAATGTACTGGGTGCACGAAGTCGGTCATCTTG